GATAGACGTATGGATGAAACAAGTCAGTTGCTATTTGTTTTATTCTATGTATAGTGTCGTAGTGGTAGCCAACAAAACGGCAGGATCTAGGGCTCCTCACAACGTACAGACTTGCAGGTCAGACCAAGCGCTCTTTTGCGCTCAAGTTGGTAAGTAGAAGGAATTAAAGTAGATCCCTGACCCCTAGCCCATCCATTTTTAAGTTGTGTAAGAAGCCGATTGGTTGGGGTCTATCTTACAGTCTGCTATATGGCGCTGGGCCAAGTCATGAATGACTATGTTGTTGACTTATCAACACAGGGGCTATCTCGTTATGGCTTAGCCGGTAGAGTGAGTTATCCACTTGGGTTCTTGGCTGCTCGCGTTGGCGTGTCAAAGCGTCCTGGGGCCTTTCACTGAACCCAAATTGCCGCCCATGGTTAGGCCGGCAACTTCCTTGTTAGTCTGCTTACTTCTGGAGCCATTTTCTAAATAAGCTCCAGACAATATCCAGAGAATCAGGACTGCACATTGTCCGGAGTATCGCTTTCACTTGACAGGAGACTTTCCGTGTCAGAAACATTCTAAATCACTTAATAAAACTATTTTTGACCAAAAACATGCTGAATTACTGGAAATACTCATTTCGGTTCAGGCCAGGAGTAGTGCCTGGATGTGCAAGATGCACGACAAGCAGTGGATTTCACTGCGGTCGCTATAGCCAGTCACTGTTTGGTCATGAACAACCTCTCTCTGTTGGCTTTTACTGATAAGAATTCCCGAATCATCTCTTCAATTTCAATTTAAGTCAATTTCATACAGTCTTCCTGTAAACATCCCCCTTTTCTTTGTTTCTTTTCTTTATGTTGTGTGTCAGCCACAAAGGAATTTTGATCAACACACCTACTTGCTTGCACTGAATTCTCTGGGCATTAACGGCTCTGTTCACAGACGGACTGAATTGGACATCAAGTCACCTAAGCAGTAATGATCAGGGGCCTCATTTATAAAAGGGATATACGCTCCAAAAATGGCGTACGCCAGTTTCTACGCAATGTTTGCGATTTATAAAATACTAACTTGACGGGAAAATGTGCGGTCCTCCACGCAAACTCTAACCCATGCGTACGCACTAAGCACAACAACGGGAGAGACGAGAAACTGCGACACCGTTGGCAGAAGGAAGAATGGAGAGAAATATGTGGAAATAATACCATAAATAAAATGTTACCTCTCATTTATCATATGAAGAATTCATTTTCAAACATTGATTAAAGCCAATCTTAAAATGATTAAACAAACGCCTGTTTGCGACTCCTCAGTGCACACAAAAACATAACTTGGAGAAATAAATAAATACGGATATGTTATTGAAAACCACCTCGAATATGTTGTGTTAATGTTATGAAATATTTTCTCAAATGATGCGGTAAGCAGGAGGACAGAATTACGTCTAAACTGACGCCGTTTTGCATTTCTATAGGTTGTAGATACGAGCATGGTTTTATATACTATCACGTTTAATCGTGTTTTATGCCATTTGCCAAGACTTGATAAGTCGCTCGTAAAACACAGGAGGTATGGAAACTAAGAACACCATATGTGGTAAATTGTACAGCTAATATAACACAACACATTAGTTGTATTTCCTTTAACTGGTGGATATAGAGTTGCTGCGGGGGGGGGGGGGGGGGGGGGGGGGGGGATCGACACCTGGGACACAAACCACCAAATACAAAAACATAATTCAGATCCAGTCGTCATGACTCCACTCCGGAGGGATTCCCCGATCATTTCTTACAGTTTCTCATCAAGGGGGTGCCCAGCTAACGGGGAACGTTCTCACAACTTTGGCTAACGTTACCTATTTGTTCTAATAATGTTTTAAAGAAACGTTTTAATCTGATGTACAAAGAACCTTTTTAGGATGTTTATTTTTTCAAATAATGTTCCTATAGGGTTTAAGGTTAACTAAGACATAACGTTTTAACTGCAACATTCAGAGGATGTTTTGAGGATGTTATTGAGGCCTGAGATGACAGAAAGTGTATTTATAAAACGTTCCATTAATGTGATATGTTAACAAAGGTGGAACGTTTTGCCTGCAACATTCTAAGGATGTGTTTTGGACGTTGTTGGGTAACACAATAAAGATGTTCTTTATAAAACGTTCCCTCAATGTTACATGATAACCAAAGAAGAACATTTTGAAAGCAACATTTGGATAATGTTTTCAGGAGGTTATTATTTTTTTATAAAATGTTCCTGTGATGTGAAATATTAACACGGTCATGGTCAACGTCAGATTTATTTGTAGTGCGCTTTAAAAAAACAAACTTGCTGCATTTGTTTGAAAAGGATGTTTAAAAGAAATCTGATGTCACCACATTTTCCTTTTTATAAAAAAACAAGCACGTAATTCATGATATTGCACGTTTGCGTAGGCATGTCTGAGTTCCCAGCTAGACATCGTTGGTTCTAAAAACATTCTGAGAATGTTACCATTCATTGTTCTAGGAATGGTTTCATCGAGAAGTTTTATTTTGGTTCCTAGAATGTACTTCTGAAAGGTAGGATAACGTTCTCTCAAAACATTCTTTAAATGTTTGGTGATAACTTTGTTGGAACATTATACCCCAAGTGTTTTTGTTGTTTATGCACATATCTCTATGGTCATATGGATCGAATAACACTTAGAAAACCAAAGACAGACATATAGAAGAATGGACCGACTATCACTGCCCGTCCCTGAAACCCCTGTTAGTGGGTTTTAATTATAGTAGGGCATAATGTTCTAACAATGTTATTAAAAACATTTGAAGAAGGTTATCACCAAACATTTTAAGAATGTTTTTAGAGAACGTTATCCTACCTTTCAGAAGAACGTTCTGGGAACCAAACAAAAACTTCCCGCTGAAAACCTTAGAACAACGACTGTAACATTCTCAGAATGTTTTTAGAACCAAACATTTCTAGCTGGGGGTCTCCTGTCCACGGTACAAACACACTGCCTGAGGAAGGCTATGTGTATTTTTTTTGTCATTACATTTTTCGGGCCATTTATTTATTTATGTTGGTGACGATCCGACCTCCATGCTGCTCCCCTGTTCAAACTGCATCCACCAAACAATATGATTTATCTCGACCTCCCCAAAAGAACCAAAATCAGACACGGTGTTAGATGTCTTTTTTAGCTGTTCTGTCGTCATTTCCTGCGATCTTCTTCATAAAGTCAGTCAGAATGAATGAATGGACGTTTCTTTTACTATTTATAGACAAATATGGGCGTTACGTGAACCCCGCAAAAGTTGCACCGCATTTCGAGTCGATTGTGATTTATAAAGGGAAACCGGCGTAGGAAGTGCTGTACGCACTTTCCTCGCCGGTACGCAATGTTTTGTGAATCGGAACATTTCTGTACCTATTTTTTTGCTTTGTACTACGTAAGCAACCTTCCCACGTGAATCCTACGCAAGGCGTTTTAAATGAGGCCCCAGGTAGGTTAAAGTTTCTTTAGTGTCCAGTCCAAATGAATTGGACAGAGGCTTTGAGTGTTTGTGAATGCTAGTCCAACAATTAGAAGACACCATTTAACATGAAATATGATAAGGGAATTAGCAAAGAGGTTGCTCATTGTTGGTCATGTTGGACAAACTAAATTACAGTGATTAATGAGACTGCTTACTAGCCAACTTTATAATCCCCAAATGCGGTCCCAGCTGTGTGCATCAATTTGTACTGTCCCTGTTTCCATGGTGTTTTGAGCTTCTTGTAGCATTTTGAACTTGCAGGGTTTCGTTTTAGTAAACTCTGCGCACGTGTTGTCAAGTTGGTGAAGATGTTTCTTTGTTTGCATGTGTTTTGGCACATTTGTGTATTTATATTTGCATCGTTTTTTTTTACATGCAGCCCGTTCCTCCTTATAGAAATGTTTTGGGCCGTAACATGTTTGCCCCTGTTGGCTACCGTACATAACATTTCATAAACACAGGACCCTATAACATTATAAAAGGCTGCAGAGTATTAATTAAAATGTTTTTAGGTAGTCTTTCTGAAAAACCTTTGTGCAGTGCGTTTTTCCACATGAAAATGTTTTGGGCCATTGTAACGCGTTTGCACTGGTTTGCACTGGTTTGCACTGGTTTGCACTGGTTTGCACTGGTTTGCACCTGTCGGCCACCATAGCACAATTTATTAGAATATTTTAAGAAAGTAATGGCTTACATTCTATGGTTTATCACTTAAGTGATGGGGTGGGGGGTTGTCCGGTGCCTTGCTCAAGGGCACCACGGCAGGGCCCAGGAGGTGAAATTGTTGATTCCTTCTTCTGGTCTGTAAGAGGAATGCAAAACGGGTAAAAAGATTGTTTTTCTTTGACAAAAAGAAAACAGCACTACTGACTCATTCAAAACTCAAATGAAAGACAAGTTCTTTATGTCTCTTTAGCCTATGCTATTCAATAATGTGCGGACAGACAGTATCTTTATCCTTTGAATAAGCGTATCAATATAAGATATACAATACAAACATAAAGACAACACAGAGCTACTGTTCAAGAACTGCAAAGCCCATACATTACATGTTACAGTCTAATCAACCTTTAGATGGATGTGGTATAGAGTAACACACACAGGTTATGTGTGTTGATCATATAGTGTCAATAAACATCATTCAAATCTAATTGAACTGAACTGTACAGGAGAAGAAACAGAAAAGTGAAGGGGAAGGCTGAGACTTGAGAAAAGGAACACTGCTGGAAAAAAGAAGATGGGGAAAAGAAAAGAGGAGAAAGGCAAGAGTGAGAGTATAGAAAGAGACTGAGGGAGAAATAATACGTGTGAATTAGAGGGGTGGGGGACTGTAGGAGATAAGGGGAGGGTAAAGGGCAAGTGAATGGAAGAGAGAGAAGGAGGGAGGGAGGGAGAGAGAGGCTCGCGCAGCAGTCGCTTCGGTAGTTTTGGCTCCGGAGACGCGCAGGACGCAACGAAGTGTCCCGGCTCCCATCGATGGTTCACCGCAGCCCGGAGGAGGGAACAACCTTCCACCGCTGCCCGGAAATCAGCGCAAAGGAGACGCAGACACTCTGACCGCAGTAAGCCTCATCTGCGCTTCAACAACTTTCACATAACATCCCGAGAAACTCCGGGGAAACCCAGCGGAGCGTTCCCACCTCTCTACCCGCCCACCACTGCCTCTATTCGGCCACGGACAGCACGCCGGACCGCCGATCTGACCTGGACTTAACCGGACCTATTTATTTATTCTGATGAAACTTTTGTGCTCTGCGAGGTTACCAGCGTAAACTTATCCGAAGTGTGCGTGAGTGCGCGTGAATGGTTTTATTGCTTTTATTTGGTGCGTTTTTTGCGCTTGGCGTGCGTAAAATCGGTGCTAAAACATCCATCCGAGACCGAGACAGCGGAGCAGAGCAGGCTGAAGCGGAGGGTGAACCAGACTAAAGTCAGTTTACACAGTGATTTGTTGGCTATAGAGCTTATACACATTGTATGTCTGAGAAATAGCGTTTAAACATGCTTTTTATTCGCCAAAATATACTTTTCTGGTAATTATTTTGGCATAATGGGTAGAATAGAAAATAGATTTAGAAATGTGATAATGTGAAATTATATATACTCACGAAAGTATTAAAGTTATAAGATAATTTTATGAAATACTTTTTCTGCTAGAATTAGTCATTCTGATGCTTTAAATGTGATAAAATGTACCATATTTATTACAGCTTTTAAAGATTTAAATAGGGTCAAGTGTAACTTTATTTACACTCGTTTATCATAGAGGTAAAACAATAGTGTCAGAGAGAACTGAAACAACCTTTCTGCATCTTAAACTCAAATAGAAACATACTGTATACTAAACTATTTACCAAAAATATTCAAATGTATTTATTTGAATCAGAAACATATGAAAGTTGATACTCAGTTGAAGTTAAATCCAGGCTGTTAAAATGAAGAGTATCAGACCTAATAAACAGTTTAGAACTACTGGAAACGTTAACATAATGTCAACATAGGGGCTACATACTGTATTGGTAATTTTTTTACCAAAATGTAAATTTAAAGTTTTCTACGTCTAATTTGATCCCTTTTAGCTCAGTTTGAAGCATATATTTGAGAGTCAAGGTCATTAACAGTAAGGAAACTATGTGAAACCAGACTGCGCTAAATGCATACAATTCTATAGAAATTAAGAAACATTTATAATTAGGCTCATGCACCAAATAATCACTTTAAATATTGATTGTTAAAATGTAAAACTTTAATTTGAGGCTTTTGTTTGGATTCAATTTGCTCCACTTAAAAATCTCAATGTATTACAATGAACAGTGATTCATTATATCTATCATGCATTTAGATTTTCATTTATGATCCACCAAATGTCTCAAATTGACACAACAACATAACCACATGACCAGACTCAGGAGAATAAAGATGTATGTAAATGTTCAAATTCTGCGTTGGATGTGTTCATGTTGCAGATTTCACACAAACTATATGTGGTTCAGGATGAAATAAATTGGCTGAGGTGCTCCTTTTTAATCCTGGGGTGAAACCCTTCAAATCAGGTGGAGACCTGTGCGATGTGGCTCAGCACCCCACAATGACAATTTAATGTGAGTGATGAGGCCGGAAATATGCTCAGCATTAGCTTCACACCTTGGGAGTACATTTAATGCTAACACACATTTGTATTTATCCTATAAAGCCTGAAAATGTGATTTTAATTTGTAAATACAGAGATGTGATATATTTGTCTCAAATGTGATAAATCTCTCACCCTAAAAAACTTGGTATATCTAGATGTTCATTTTTCCGCGTCCCGAACTTGACACAGCGTTGTGTTCACTTCCTTAAATCCACTGTGAATAGATTTGATCCGCTGTGTGTCCCATACATGTCTACACCCTGCCCTGACCTCTTTAACAATGATTGACACCTCCTCCTCTCTGCTTCCCCACCCCCCAGCCGCCATGCTGAAGCCAGGTGAGCCCAGCGGCTCGGCCTTCCTGAAGGTGGACCCGTCCTACCTGCAGCACTGGCAGCAGCTCTTTCCCTCAGGCGCAGCTGAAGTCTCCTCTGGCCCCCCTGCCTCCACCTGACCGCCTCTCCATGCCCATGGACAGCCTGCGTCAGTCCCGCCTGCACAGCCACCTCCTGGCCTCTTCGCACTGCACCTCCTCTTCTTCTTCTTCTACGGCCTCCTCAACGCTTTCATCTTCAGTAGCTGGAGCAGCTCTCACCCCGTCCTCCTCCATCTCCATCTCCACCTCGGCGGGGATCTCCCAGCTACCCGTCCCCCAGCAGATCGCACTCTTTGGGCAGGCGTTGGCCCCGGTGTGTGGAGGACCTGGAGGAGGAGGAGGAGGAGGAGGAGGAGACCTCATGATGGTGGTGCCCCCGGAGAACCGGCAGGGTCACAATCCGATGGCGGGGCTTCTCCATCAGGCCAAAGAGCTGAGCTGCGGGGGGGTCGGGGTGGTGTCATCCAGCGTGAAGAGCAGCTGTGGAGGAGAGGAGGGCGGAAAAGGAGCGTCGGCCAGGTTCAAGCTCACGTCAGAGGAGCTGGACTACTACCTGTACGGACAGCAGAGGATGGAGATCATCCCTCTGAGCAACCACACAGGAGAGGTCAACAACCGTACGTACACACACACACACACACACACACACACACACACACACACACACACACACACACACACACACACACACACACACACACACACACGTGGTTACACTTTTATATTCCTTAATCCTCAGATAATATTCCCAAAAGGTCATGGGTTGTGTCCCTGGTGGTCAGCCGTGACTTTTGACCTTTTGTTATTATATTTTAACTTACCTAAAGTTCCTGTAATATTCATATTATTCCCACATCGTTTTATATTGTTCTCTGTCATGTTCAGCAGTGAGTTGGTACCTTGTGACGTTTGATTCTTATTTACACAATTATATAAATGTACTATAATAAAGCAACAGAAATATTTATATTATTTTTGATTTGAGTATTTCGGTAATATTCCAATAATAGTTGGTAGTGGTAATCAATTGCGTTGTTGTAATTTCAGACAGTGTTTTAAGTATTTTTACAACTACATCATTGTTGTAATATATTTCTACATGTTCTTATATTAGTTTATTTTCAGTTTGTTATGGTTTATTGAACTTTAACTAAGCTGGTGTAATAATTGTTCAAATACAAAAACATAATTTAAAATGATAATTTCCCAACAAGCTATGTTAAGTTTTGGTCAAAGCAGCTGTAAATTCATAATTACTTTATATAATATGTTATTAAGCATTAACAAGACTATTCACAATACTTCTAAAACATGTATCTATTCCAGGCTCCACCAACAATTACTCAAGCCTTCATTGCGCCTAACAGAAATAAATCATTAAGAAAAATGTTTTTAATATATTAAAACAATGTTCACCAAATACAATAAAGCTGTAATAGGAAATTAATTTGGTCATTAGCTAGTGTGTGTTTTTGGGATGTTACAGTTGGTTAGACAGCTGCAGTGTTGGACAGTAGGAGGAGGATGTGTGTGGGGGGTCAGAGGTCAGAGGTCAGCAGCAGTCTGCCCTGGGGTTCAAACCCTCAGACAGCAACAGCAGCAGCAGCAGCAGCAGCAGCAGCAGGCCTGCAGCACAGTCAATATTAAGCACACTTTATTTAGATGTCATTAATCATCGGGTTTTACACCTACCTTTACATAGTCTTTTAACTTTTTCGTTCTGTTATGGAGAACATGTGGGATAATTATTAATTTCACTTAAATTCAAATGAAAGAGATTGATTAATAAATATTTACGTATTATTTCACTTTTTTGCGTTTTAAAATATAAAATAAACTGCGTCAGAAGCGTTCAGTTTATTAAGTTCATGTATTTTTATTTTCTAAAATGTCTTACTCTCTCTGTTATTTTCAGTTTTCAACTCCGCAGTAAAATAATAAAAACACTGTTTTCTTTATTCCGCGTGAATTGATCAGTCTGATCTCCGCTGTGTGTGTGCGCTTGCGTTTGTCATGCATCACGGGCGCTCTGTCAATATCTGTCCACGCACGCACACACACAATCAAACGCGCACACACACACACACACACACACACACACACACACACACACACGCACACACACACGCACGCACACCATCGCTTTCATGTTTCAAAGCTGCGACACGGAGGTGCGTTTGATTAGTTAACTGAGCATGTCCCGTTACGCACTTAGTCTCACCTCAGTTAGAGGAGCTCAGCGGGTGTGTCCGGTTTCACGGCACCGAACACTCCCGGTTTGAGCCGAAGTCCCCACTTCCCGCTGTGCACGTGGAGAAGATCAAAGTGAAGTCTCGTGTCTGTAAGTTGGCACTGTTTAATGTTTAAAAGTCGTGTTTTAGAAGCTTAACATTTTACTTTTTGTGCCCGTTTATATTTTACCTACGATATAAAACAATGTAGGCTAATACAATAATTGTTATAGTTAATGTTCAATGTTGATTATCCTACGTTTCTTTCTCCATTAATATAATAACTGGTCTTTAATCAGCACCAACATAACTTCCTTAGATGCGAATCCATGGCCTATCTGTCGTTTTATGAGCTTTATAAATGTTTTTTTAATTCGGTTTTACGCTGACGAAATTATGATATTTCCGTCACGTTTCCTTAGGGAATTCATTGTTGCATCAACATTGTTTTTTTTAAAGTACGCTATAGTTCAGTGTGTCGGGTCAATGTACGGTTTGCACATAATGGGATTTTTAAATAAATACAGCTTTTAAACGATACGTTTAATATCTCAATAATATTAAAGTGCCTTGTGTTGCACGTCAGGCTTCTCTCTTTAAATAGTGCGTCAGGCCTATAATAGCCTCTATTAAAGATGACTGTGGGCTATATCATCGTATTGATATATTGTTTTCCAATAATAGCCTATATGTGAAATATTTCTATTGGAGCTTTGAGTCGACTGTAGTTCTTTTAAACTCGTTTATGTATTTCATTTGATCTACCGCGGCATTTAGAGGGGATTGGTAAACATATTCTGAATATTTGTCTAGATAATGTATATGTTTGTATCCTGCTACAGCGGTGTCAACAAGTTTATATACTGCTATAATTCTCCTCCTATAATAACCATATAATAAAAGGTCATAGGTTCACGCTGTGACATCTGTATCGAAACTTTTTTATGAAGTGAGTGTCGCTGTTTTTGGTTTCAGGCAGCCGCGATCCTAAACATCAGTGTGTGGGTGTGTGTGTGTGTGTGTGTGCGTGTGTGTGTGTGCGCGCGCGTGCGTGTGTGTGTGGTGTGTGTGTGTGTGTGTGTGTGTCTATATGAGCGCTCCTCGCTGTATATTCCGCGGTGATAAAACGGACCATCAGCAGTAATCTGCGTCGATACGCGCCGGCAGGGCCGATGAGGGATGGTGGGACAAGCAGGAATTAATTGCCGTATATAGTTTTGTGTTTGCGGAAGAGTGTGTGCGTGTGAGAGAGAGAGAGAAGGGGACAGAGTGAGGGGGGGGGGGGGATTCTGGGAGGACAGGGAGAGGAGGGGAATCGATCCACCGGCCACCGGCCCGCTATTTATCATCCCAACACAGCCGTATGAGGTCTCTGGGGTGTGTGTGTGTGTGTGTGTGTGTGTGTGTGTGTGTGTGTGTGTGTGTGTGTGTGTGTGTGTGTGTGTGTGTGTGTGTGTGCGTGCGCGCGTGCGCGTGCGTGTGTGTATGTATGTATGGGGGGGTGTCTGTATGGGGGTGCAGATAAAGCAGTCTCACACACTCTCTCTCCCATGTGTCACCCGTCAACCTTGATTATTATTTACACTAATAATAATAGTAATAATATTAATAATAACTGTCCATAAAAGATAAAAATGACTAAACATATTTTTGGTGATCACTATTTAATCTCTCTATTTAATCTACAATATTTTTTTCGGTAACTGCAATGTTTTTTTCAAATATTTATTTATTTATTCTATTTCATTTAAGACTGCATATTAAATAAATAAGTATATCTATATTTCAGCCAAGTCTGACTTTCTGTAATGTTGGATGCAATAACATAATAGATTCAAGATCAATATTGTTCTAACATACCGAAATGGTAACGTTTTTTTTATAGGAATAGTGTGATTTTGAATCATAGGCTCATTTAATTGCCTTCATATTGTAGAGAAATCAAATTAAAACAAATGTTTATATTAATAAATAAGTAATACAATTTGGTGAGTTTCTTTTTTAAAGTGTTAGTTCCACTTCCATGAAGTTGGGGGACTTGTGTGAGGTTTGACATATAGATCAAACTCAAAGCAGCCTTAGTCCCTCATATGGGTCATCTCCCACCAAAAAAGAAAGCCTGATGATGTCATAGTTACACAATTAGAATTGGCTGTATTGTCTGATTTTGATCTCTTAATTAAAAGGGCAGTCAATTTGGGATTGAAAGCTTTTTAGATTTTAATACTTGAAATATGTTTTCTGACCTATTTCAACTAATGCTTTTCAGGCGACATCTATTGCTAATAATATTTTTGTAGCTGAAGGTTTCATTTTTTTTACTAGGAAAACTATAAAAATGTATCCAGTTTAGTATTTATTTCCAAAATGAAACATACAAGTCCATAAATCAACTGTTTCTCTTTTAAGGAAGCACAAATTAGAAGAGAAATATAACAATTCTGGAGTTTTTAAATTCAATATACAATTATACACCATTTATTATGTTCTGTTAGAGAAATACAAGATATGACTGGAAGTTGTCAAACATCTGGGACAAATAAAAAAACACAGATCAACTCTTATAAGTTCCAGCTGCACTGGCAGCTTTAGTGTGATTTAATAAACTCGCACACACACACACATACACACACACACACACACACACACCACACACACACACACACACACACACACACACACACACACACACACACACACACACACACACACACACACACACACACACACACTGAGCTGTTTGTTGGTTTCCATCCGTTCCATGTTTAGAGGCAACATACGCATAAAGCAGGGTTTGTCCAAACCGGGGAACTTCATACCAAAATGCAGATTTTCCCCGTAACATTTTAAAGCAAGGCCAGAAAACAATATTCCTGTTAGTCAAAAAATTATTTAAAGACCATGAAAATGTGAGATTTACAAAGTTGCATTCAGTGATGTCTGTCCAAACATCTCCAAGACACACTAAACCTCGACCTATTATCATTATTCTGTCTGTCTAATTAATGTAAATCCAATATTTTCTTTATCTTTTATCTCTTGTTTTGGTCTCCACCATCGCCTGAGGGAAATGTTTGTTTGTTTAGCTGCTAAATGCTACGCTTTGTTCCCTATAGGTTCTAAATGTGTCAGTGGTGGCGCATTGAATATACAGTGGCTTTACCAGAGCTTGTTTGATGAACAAAAAGTGCCATAAAAGCCAAAATCAGGAGCTAAAAGGCTCAGATCTGTGGAGGTTTGGTCCGCGTGGGTTTATGGATTATATAGAGCATCTCTCTGTGTGGTCCGTCCTCATCTGGACTTGCAGATGTGTTGGAAACAAACGCAGTCATTAACAGCGATAGTCTTTATGAAGTGTGATGGTTTTGTTGAGAAGGAGTCCAGGA